TGTAGGGAAGGTTCAAAGCCATGGATAGTGCCCCCTGGCATCAGAGCAGGGAATAGGCAGCCTCCCACTTAATAAATCAAGTTAACAATCGAGTTGTGGCAGGCAAGTCAGGGCAGACTGCCCTAGGCAGGTGGGTGGGCTGCTTTGGGATCCGGCCTCAAGTTTGCCCCGTTGCACTAATTAGCATGCATTGGACCAGACTCAATTAATAGACCCAAGACAATGTCCAGTTCCCTGAGACAAGATCAGGCTCCCTCTGTGTTTTCTTGTCCCTACATATCTTCTTACCTTGGCTGCCAGGTAAGCCAACTTTTAACAGGCTGGGTATAGGGTACTCTTCACCCTGCCTAGTCTGTGGCCCAAAATATTACTTGTATAGCTAAGTTAGTCATGTAACTGTTGCTTGCCTATCTAAAGATGGATCTGGCAATTTAACTGTGTATACCATGTCCATAAAACAGGGCTACAGTTCTGCTTTGGCATTCTTAGAGGCAAGAGAAAACCGTTTCAGCTTTCCTGTCCTGAGATAGTCATTACTTTGCAGATGGAATTATAGGCTGCTTTGTAAATTGGAATACATTGCTCCTTTGTATTCTTTGCCCATTTTAGGGACTTACTGAGTTTATATATCACATAATGAGTATTGAATAGAGGGTATTAACAAATGCAAGTCTGATTTAAGGAAACAGCTAATGGAAACTCAGATCTGACATCAAGGCATCAGATCCCCAAGAGGATGAAGCAACACAATATCATATCATTCTCCTGTTATTAGACTCTGCAGACAACATGTTTGACAACTGTGAATTACATCCATTTACAGTTAATATTGCATTATAAAGCATTAAGAATATTATGTAATGGGGTAGAATCACAGGGATTATACACATAGCACATGTTTGACTCTTAGCCAGCTCCAAAAATTAGATGTCAGTAAAACACTGATTACTGTTTGTATTAGAATCATCATTGTTCAGATTCTGCTCAGATTTCCTTACCCTGAACTGCAGAAGTTCTGTAATACATGTGTGCTTTTATTTAAATTGAACTGAGTCACATGTGGCGCATCTACATTGATACTGCTGGTTAGTAAGGTGGAAACTCTGCAAAGAATAAAACACCAAATAAGTGATGGCTTAAGTATCAGGGAAACAATACAGATGTATGTCCTGCAGGACCAAGATGCACCTGTTACCTATTTATGGGTCAATTTGGTTTTCACATAACTGTTAATGCTGTTATTATTACCTCTTAGCATAAAAACAATAATTTAGATGGTGATAATAAAAGATTCAGAACTATATAAAGACTTAAAATTATTCCTGAAGGGTGAGGAGAATAGACCACACTGGGAGCGTTTACACGTGATGCTACATCGCTGTAGCAACATGCTATGGCGTTGTAGCATTGACTGGCAAAAACTGTGATGCTGCAACATCACTGTAGCAACTCACTCTCTCATTATAGCGTGCTGTTGCAGTGATGTAGCAGCTAAAGATAACCATGTGCAGCTGGCACAGCACAGTATGGGCTGTTACTACGCCATCATTTAATAGTTCCAAAAGGAAATACTAAAAGACGGCGCAGTAACAATGGCGCTATCTGGCCACATGTAGACAAGCCCAGGACTGAGAATAAAAACTAACACGTTCATTTCTCTGATTTATAATTATGTGATTCCAGTGAGATAGAAGTCACATACTACTACCCTGGACAAAGCCTTGGAAAGTAGGACTCGAATTTTCTCAGGTTTTGCATCCAAGATAACATTGCTTATAGGGAGTCATTTGGAGAATTGGGGCTTAGAATGTAAGATTCAGGTTAGGGGGTGGTGCGTGCATGTGTGCGTGTGTATATACATCTGTGCATGCGCACATCAATGAGTAAAGTGATACCACATCATCTGGTAAAGGCATCATTTCTGAACTAAGTTTTTCACATAGTGTTGTAATATAAAGATATGATAAAATTGATAGTTATTTAATTAAATTATATTTCAGCGTTGTTTCTGACCACCTTTCCAAACCTCTCCTGATTTTCCTGCCATTGTTTGTTGTTGTTTTTCCAAGATCACAAAGGGGGTAGACTCTTGGTTCTGAGTCACTAACAGCTAAGCTTAATGAGAAAGAATTTAAAATTCACCAGACTGTACAATTAAGTGCTCATAATAGAACTATTTCAGTGGACAGAGAGAAATTAACTCCTTTCTTTTTTTTTACCTGGGAGAATAAGATGATGGCTCCCACTGCATGTTGCAAGCAGGAGCTAGCTGGAAACAATCCAACAGAAGTGGGCTTTCTGACTTGGCAGCTGTACTGTCCTCTCTCCTCTCTTCCTGTGGTCTCCATACAGTTGAGTTAGCCAAGGGAATATCTACAGACTGATTCTGGCATTTTCTTAAGGTTCTTGGAGAAAGATCAGGCATTTTGTGAATGTCTGAGTCAATTCCTGAAATACAAGACCACCACAACATCAGTGAAGTCAGCCTTAGGAGACGGAAACAAGCATTAACCCCTGATCTTGCAATTGACTGTGCTCATGTGTCTATAAGTGGAAATTTTCTGCTGTGCATTCTGTATGAAAATTAAGATAACAGAGCCACCCCATGAAGAAATTTATTTCCACTTCTCCTTGACCCTGGAAATTTGAGAAGAGTGTGCCCTTAGCATGCAGGAGGGGTTAATGTATTAGAGATCACTATAGAGGGCAGGGGAAGCAGAGTTTAATAAATAAACTCTATCAAATGGAAGATTTGCTGGACTGGTTGCTAGTTCATCAGTTATGGAGCAAATCACAAGTATTGAGAAGGTATATGAGAGAAAAGTAATGAATATCATTATTGCCCTTGGACTTGATCCCAGAAAGAGGGTTCTAATATTATGGAATTATTATTCTCTTTAGAGAAAATCAATTAGAGAGAATATAAAGAACTGCAATGCCTGTTTTTTGAACCAGAAGAACATGGTTGATGTGGCTGGTATATTTGTCAGTGCTCACTGGGTGGAAATCACACTTATCAAAGGGTCAGCTTTAGGTTTGTTTATCACTTAAGTTCCATAAAGTTCTCACAGGGCATGTCTACACATTCATTAATGTGCCTGTACTTCTGCTCATTAAGTTTAGTACCTCTAATATGAGGTACTAGATAAAGGCGCAGTAGCTGCACTAATGCACAGTAGCAAAGGCAAACTTTTTTTTGTGATGCTTAACGCACAGCTGACTAATTCTATTGCACATTAGCATGGTTTTTGCTGTGACATGCTAATGCTCAGTAGAACAGTTCACTGTGCATTAAGGCATCTCATGTAGATGCCCCCAAAATAAATAATCGGGTGGGTTTCAGTCTGTATATTGGCCTTAAGCTTAAACATGAATGTTGCTCAGACCAAAGTTATGTTCATTTATAGTTCTAATGTAAGTGTAATAGCAAACATACAAGAAAAACTAGCTTCAACATAAATTCATTATAGGGATATATTTTCTTCACATTTTCCAGAACTTATATCTTCCCTCACCCATCCACAAGTCTCAAGTTGCAATTTAGGGAGAATTAAACTGAACTAAACCCCAGTGGTGTGTGCACAAGGGTGGAGGCCCAATCCTTACCTGCCTCTCCGGCAGTGGGGGCAGGGAGGTGAGCTGCCGGTGGGCCGAGCAGTTCCTGACCTGTGCAGGGGCCTGGTGCTTCCCTCCATGGCAGTGGTGGCACCCCCTAGGTGGCACCTGCCCACTGGCACCCAGCCCAGGTGGTCCTGGGGGGCACCACAGCTACAGAGGGAAGCACCAGCTCCCCTGCAGCCGCAGAGGGAAGTATCGGGCCTCCGCACAGCTCGGGCAGACGCACAGGCTCAAGGAGAAAATAAAAAGATCAGGATCCTCGCCACTTTCTTTTTTTCTTCAGTCGAGCCTACCTGACTGCACAGACTGCCACCAGGTCACACAGCCCCTGAGCTGCGTGGGGCCTGGTGCTTCTCTCCCTGGCTGTGGCACCCCCCCCCCCCCCCGGGACCACGCAGTCCAGGTGCCAATGGGCAATGCTTTCCACCATGGAGGAAAGCCCTGGGGTCCCCTGCAACTCAGCGGCTGTGTGACCTGGCAGCAGCTCACCCCCTCTCCCTTGTTGTGGGAAAAGCAGGTAAGCTCCAGCACCTCTGCATCATCCCCGCTGCCTGGGACAGCCCAGGAACAGCTGGCTTGCAGGGTGGTAAGGTGGCAGGAGGGTGGCTGGGTTTGCTGGTGGTAGAAGGTGGCAGGGGTGCTGGAAGCCTACCAAGCCCTGAGTATGTCAGCTTCCAGTGCCCCATACACTGTTGCACTTTGTTAGGTAGCAAACTAAAACACCTCAGAGGTATTATATCTTGCTATATTACAAAGTCATTTAAAGCGAGCGTGCAAACAGCAACACCATTAAATTGGAATATGCCGCCAAACGTGCAAACAGCAATGCCATTAAAGTGGTGCAAAAGGGCATTTAAGCCACTTTGGAGGCCAATTTTGTCGTGTGTACAAAGAACTGATTTCGCTGGAAGTATTCATGTGAGTAACTGCTTACTAACGTGAGTAAAAGCCCTTCCAGCTTTCTGTGTGTTTCAGTGCACAGTAGTTTAAAGTCAGAAAGCCAATGGTGTATGCGGCTCTATAAAAATCTATCATAAGACGAAGAACACAAAAGACAGGCCTGGTGCTATTTTGTTTGCCACAATACCTATTGCCTAAAATTTGAAAATCTAAAAAATAAAAAGCTAAAATTAAAATTGCCCCCCAAAGATGCCTGCTGTGACTGACCCAAAGCCATTTGATAATACTCCATCCAGTCATCTAGAATATTTTTGATCTTTTGCTGCAGCTTTCTTAATTCTCTGGCTGCACTGAAATAATTTCTGTGGTTTATATTCTCCTCTAGAATTTCAAGCGTCTTCAGCGGCTCTGCCAACCTTGACTTTTTTAAAAACAGAAAGACAGAAAAAACATTTTGAAAATTACACTTGATTGATGTTTAATACTGCTAAAACAGACTTTGAAATAATTTAATGAAATATGAGACCTTTTAAATTAAGCTCAATACAAGTCGGTATCAAAATAATACTAAACAGCCCCCCTCCCCCACCAAAGCCCCAGACTTTTTGAAGCCACACAGGATTGGAAATTAGTGGGTGCTACAGAACATTTTTATCCTCTGCTCCAACAACTGAATTGGGCAGTTTAGTTTTGATAGGGGTACCATAACAGGCTCCTTATTCCTTTGCTGCAGGATAGGAGAAGGGTCCAAGACACTGCTTACTGTACCTGAGGTTGTCCATTTATTGGACTAACTGTTGGACTAGGCTGATGCAAGCCCCTCTGCCTTCTCACTCCAGTGGTCAAAAAAATGTCATCTTTTAGTTTTGAACATTTTTTGCAAAAAGTACAAGGCAGATGGTCTAGTGGCCAGATTAAACGTTTGTTTAATTTTGAGGTCAGTGGCTTTTTCCATCCAACTTTGTCTCCTAAAAGCCCACTTCACCTCTGTTTTGCCCTTGTATCTTTTGGGGTCTCTCTGAGCATTTGTAATCTGAGAGTGGTTTCACTACACATGGCGAAAAATGAGCGAGCAGAGTCATCTCAAATCACAAAAGAATGGAGACACCGTTAATATCGATATTATGTGATAGAAATAGACTCCCTCCCTACGTATTCTTGAGAAGTCGAGAGGTTTTGAAAGTTCTAACGCTGTGCACTTTGGTTCCTATGATGGCCTGCCACATCCTGCAGTCTGACCTAGTGCCTCTTTTTGGAAATGACTCCCTGGATTTGGAGAGTGGGGCACAGATGGGTCTCAGCCTTAGCTTCTACACTACAACTAGGGACCTACTGAAATTGCGGATGTTGCAAAATCCGGCATTGCCCGCAAAAGTGGGCAATGCCTGTGAAATCCATGGGAAAAAAACACAAGAAAACTTACTGAAAATAAAATGCTGGCTCCCCAGAGGAAGCAAGGGGGCTACCTGCTCAAAGGGCTACCGGCAGGATGGCTTCTGCCTCCACCCCTCACGGCTGATTGCCTGCAAGGGCTGCGTGTCATGTGGCTCTGCCCCTCTCTACCAATTGGTGGTGAGGGGTGGGGCCACATGACAGACAGCCCTCAGTCAATCAGTAGTGAAGGACAATCAGAGGCATGGGGGGGAGGGGCAGGGGGCGCCACACTTCACTCATGAAATGGCTGCCCAGCCCCATGTTCTGCCTGCAAAATTGGGGGACAGGTGCCTCAAATTTGGTAGGTCCCTAAACTGAAGTTATTGCGCCTGACTGAGAATGAGGAGACCTACCAGTCTGCAGCCCCCTCTGGTCCAAAAGCAGAGTACTTCAGCTAGTGAAGAGAAATCTCAAATGATGGAGTAGGCTACTCTAAAGCAGTGCCCTTTTCAGTGGTGGACCAACAGGGGGGCAGGAAGGGGCCATGGCTCCTGGGCACTGGCCTGGGGGAGGCACCAGCTGGGCCCTTTAGAGAAACCTGTGGCCACAGGGGACCCCACAGAGCCAGCGGTGGTGGCCGCAGCTGTGTTTTGTTGTGTGGCCTGCCCCGTGGGTTGGATGTTTAGTTACCTGTTCCAGCTGGAAATTCCAGCCATCACCCCTCCCCCAGTGTGTGCGCCCGGACTTTCATTTAGTTCCCAGCCAAAACAGATAACCAAACAGGGCTGAGGTGGGAGACTTTAAGTACTGCTACAAGAAGGATGGGGAGAAGGGAGGGGGCAGGTGCAAATGCAAGCATTGGCCCCCAAGTGCCAGAGATCCACTGTTCGTCTCTGGCCCTTTTAAAGGGCCCACACAAAATGCCAAATGCATCCACATGCACATGGAAGCATAATCACTGCAATAAGTGTTGCATGTTTAGATGCAGAGGCCCACAGTCAACACTGTGCTTAGGGATCCCCTGCTCCCGAGGAGACAGGGGATGTGTGATTGTTTCTACAAAAGCTCCACCTACTCCTCTGCTCAGTGCAAGCACCCTGCAGTATCTTGTTGTGGCTGTCTCAGAGGTCATCTGGAAGATTTTCCATAGCTCCAGCTCAATGTCCTCTGGCTGAGAAGGGAGTGAAAAGCTAAATGTCTCTCTCCTGGTCTATATCTTAGAAGAAAAAGTTCTTAAAAATAGCTTTGGCACTTGAAGAGTAATAAAGACTTCCTCAAGGAAATGCATAGTATGATGAATTTTCCCATGATTCCTGTGGATTCCTACAGGACAGTCTTCTAAAATGTCTCAAAAGGCACCGCTTCAGAGTATTGTGCTGGGAACTCTGGGTTAGATACCCAGAGGGTGCTGCAACTTCAGTGGTATAATACAGTTTCCCGTGGACATCTACACTGTAAGTAAATACATTATAACTATTCTTATATCACCAGTTCACTTGGCTAGAGTAGGCAGAACCTCACTGACATGCTTGTTCACCCATTAATGTGCATATGATCTTTTGTGTTAATGCTAGCAGGCATTATACACCTGACACATCCGTTATATTGCTAATTAGAGTCTTAAGCAAGGCTGGTAAGGATTAGTTCTATTTGTTGTTCCTGTAAATCCAAGCTTTGCTGACAAAAGTGGTCTTGAGTCTTAAAGAACAAGATAAAGTGAGAGAGTGTGAGTGCTTTGTGGGTACAATGGATAAGCATTACTGAGAAACCCATTTAACATCCTCCAATTAAGAGACAGGAGATTTAACGTATCATTGTCATAAGTGTTTAATGGCTCACTTTGAAAGCTAATAGGAAATATGTACAATCATAAAAATCTTCCATTCAATAACCCCCCTCTCTAATTGGCTTGCTAAAGTTGAACCAAATATTGTTCCCATAAATTGCCAGATTAACGCATGCAAAAATTCTAAGTACAGTAGTTTCATTAAGACCAAAACTAATAATCTTTAAGAAACACATCAAAGTGATAGTGATGTAAAGCCAAAAATGTAATTGATTAACTCACACCACAGATTGGAGAATTGTTCACAGAAATGTTTCATAAACATTTAGGTCCCATTTTCAGAAGTAATTTAGGACCCAATCCAAATCATTCTTATAAAAGTGTCTAAATGGGACTTGGGTGGAATTAGGCACATAAGCCACAAAACCCCCCCCCCAACTAAACAAAAAAACCCCCACAAACCAGATTGACCCCACTCCAGTTAAAACCCCACAAAATTGCTTACCTAACTTGAATCATTAACTACTTTCATTTGGGCCTGAAAGCACACACAGATTTCTTAGGTTTGTGTACAATCATGTTGGCAATCCAGATTCAATGCCAAGGTACATAACTCATGCCTAAATTCTGTTCTGATCCAGGTCAGTGTTGGGAGTTGCCCAAACTTTACTTAGGTCCCCACTGGGTGTCCACAGAGCACATTTCACTCCTTACAGACATGGGTAGCATTGAGGGCAGAGACCGAAGTGACAATTTTTGCCCAGTCTGGCCACAGAAAGCAGTTTATAGCCATGACCAAACACAAGTACACAGCTGCAAACAGTTTAAAAAATGGCTGATCCAGTGAAAATCTGACCCTGCATCGCATGGGGGGTCAGATGAAGACATTTCAAAGCAGAGCATCTTCTGTAACGTCTGTCTGCACTGCATGCCAGTCTCAAGCTGTTTTCAGAATAGGAGGGGGGAAAGGAAGTGGAGGGAGTTTGCTCTGGGGGCTTTTCAGCCCACACTGTTCTGTCTGCACCTGGAATTCAGTACAAAATGCAAAATCTTCTGGTCATTCTTGAGCATAGCTACTGATAGTGCTGCCATCACTGTCCCCCTTTTCTTCAGTTGCCTCATGGTTAGTGCATTTGCCTAGGAAGTAGAAGACTTGGGTTGACTCAAATCCTCATCTTCCACTTCCCAGGAAATTGCCTGGAGCACCAATCTATAGACTAGTGGGCAAAGAGGGCCTGAAATCTAGGTCTTCTGCTTGCTAGGGAAGTGCCCCAGGCTATTATAGCAAGGTGGCTGCTGTCATCCCCATCAACTATGTTTTAAAAGTAGAGAGAGGGCCACTTATCTGTATGTGAAGGGACAACTTAGGTATCTGAAGTCTAGGTGTGAGCTTTGAGCTGTTAGTTCCAGACAATGTCTATGCTATGAAGTCTACACCTTACCTACAGCAGCCAAAATAGGGCAGCGGGGTCCCTGGCAGGGATGTAGCTTTGCCAGTAGAAGCAGTGTTGCCATCTTGGATCAGGTATAGATATTACACTCCTACTAGTATAAAAAGGACCTACCAAATTTGTGATTTTGCAATTTTTGTGGAAACCACAAAATTAATAGGTCCCCATGAAAAAGTGTGGGGACTGTGAAAAAGCATGAAATTAGGTAATTGAGCAGGGGAAAAAAAGGGAGCTGCAAACAGAAAAGGGCAGGAAACCATGGCTCCTGAACCATGGGGAAAGGGAGGGGAGATATTTGCAGCAGAGTGCAATGGGCCTTTCCGTACCTCAGATTGGCTGAGGGGCCCAGAAGTCCTGCCCCCTCCCTGGAGAGTGACAGATGGCCATCTGTCACTCTCTAGGGAGGGGGCAGGACTTCTGGGACCCCTTGGCCAATTAGAGGTGTGTGGGGCCTGCAGCACTCTGCTGTGAAAATGGTGACTGTTGTCATGCATGGACCATGAAATCAGGAGGCAGCTGTCCTGAATTCGGTAAGTCCTTAGGTATAAGTGATTGGAAACTGGTCTATACCCATAACAGAATAGAAGTTTGGCAAACATAGACTATTTTAAATATGGTGGAACCCAGTCTAAGATTTGCCTCCCCACCAAAGGGTGAATGTGTATTCTGAACAAACTAAACAATGCTGCTTACAGAAAAACACGTAACTTAGATCAGTTCAGCCTCGGGTTTTTTGAATGTCTGCACCTAGTCATACTGAGTTTGTCACTAGATTTAGAAGCTATTTGGATTGCCTGCTGATGAAATGTATGTATCAGTGTGCTATGTGCAATACTTGGTAAATTATCTAGTGATATTGTTGGCAACTTTGGAAGTTTTACCTAATAACATCTGAGCTAGGGACAGAAATGACACATAAGGTGGTGATCAGAAACCGGTTCAGATCTGTAACACAACAGAAGTTCAGTGTACATAAACAGGCTGAACTTTTGAAACACGCTGTTTCAAAATGGCTGAAACCAGTTTAAGATAAACCTGGATGGATGTAGTATCAGACTTAACTGATTTAAGTTAAATCAGTATATTGAATTTCTGTCCCAGATCCCCTCCAGATTCAAGTTAACTCATAGTCCCCCAGCATCCCAGGATGCTTTGCACCCTCCCTCCTCACAGGGTGGGCAGGCTAGCTTTGACCCAGGCTGTCTGCTCCAGCTGAGCAGGGTGGCATGCTCTGGTGCCCCATGGCTTCTGGCCTGGGCCACTCCAGACATGTGGCTGCATTTCTGGAATGAAAAGCAAATGTCTGTTCACTTACTTATCAGTTTAATCTATGCAGTTTAGACTAACCTGCAAAGATTGAATCAAGTCTTTCCTGCCCAGAGCAGGGGGGCTGGACCCAATGATCTCACGAGGTCCCTTCCAGCCCTCAACTTCTGTGAATCTGTGTGTGAATTCAGCCTCAGGCTTTTTGACTGTCAGTACTTAGCCCTGGTGGTTCTCTAAGGCCTGTCTGGAGAATTTCTCTTTTAGAAGTTGTAGTACATGGCGGAAGCTTTCTGCTGGCAGGGCCTCATCCAAACAAAAGAGGTTTGCTGGTAGACTTATGTCAGTTATTAGTTGTGATCTTTTCATACCGCTAGCTGACAGCCCTGCTGGACAAACTTTGTAATGGTCCAGCCTCACACAGGTGCCTTCACTCAGGACTGTGGAGAGGCACCTAAATCTGGGAATGAAATAGGATTTCAGTGCTTTTCTGTTAGCTGCCTTAAGCACCCTTGGCTCAGGATATCGTACTTGTATGATAGTTACCCAAAAGCCTGTCAACAGCATGGTGGCAGCAAATCCAGCATCAGCCACAGCAACAATGTAAGCAGGCTCCAATTTCCCTATTTGTGAATTGTGGAGACATATTTGTGAACTGTGCTCTTGAAGCCAAATGCCTCATTTTTAAAGGTGGACATGCCCAGCACTGTCATACCTGAGTCTCTTTAGAGTAATACATGGTGTTGTAAATTAATGAGAATTAGTCTCCAGGCCACCTAAGATTTCATAGACATTAGGGCTGGAAGGGACCTCGGAAGATCATCGAGTCCAGCCCCCTGCCCAAAGGGCAGGAAGTCAGCTGGGGTCATAGGATCCCAGCAAGATAAGCATCCAGTTTGCTCTTGAAGGTGTTCAATGTAGGCGCTTGAACCACCTCCGGTGGCAGGCTATTCCAGACCTTGGGGGCTCGGACAGTAAAGAAATTCTTCCTTATGAGAGAGACTTCCTTTCACATCTTTGTAAATTTCATTCTAAACCTTGAAACTAAGAAGAAGAATTCACACAGGATCTCCTAAATGATACTCCTTTACCTCTTAAAAATAAAGCTTTCACAATTTTACATCTTTAATGATTCAGATCATCCCCAGTTATTTTGAATTTGTTATTTAAATAGGTCATCTTGTACCACAATTATTTCTCTTCAGAACAGGAACTCTTTTCTGTTTTTATGGGAGTCAGTAGTCCTAATTAAGATTAAAATTTATTTTCCATTATATGGTCTCACTAATTTCCTGCTAAAGCAAAAATCTACATGGCTAAACCTCCTGATAATGGGTTTATTAACAAGTTGAAGTGCATCCAAATGCTGTGTTTTATAAATTAAATGTTAGATTTCATCCAAACATTTTACATTCTTAAAAAAAAATGTTCCGGATCTACCAAGCCAATGCCTAGTTCCTAATTTGTTAATGAGTACATTTGAAAATGTGTTTTCCACATTTGAGAATTAGTCCAGGGTCTTAGATTTTACTGCTTCTTTCAAATATATCTTAAAGTTTGTAAGACCAGCTATTTCCAAAGGCATTAAAGGAAATAAAGAATTTTTTAACATGATTAATCTCTTCTGAGTCTCACATCTCACCAATAGTTTGTCCAAATTACCTCTACTGGCAGAAGATTATACATGAAAACAGAGCAAAGTATGCCATTGTAGGAATGGGTATTACATCTGACTTTCTTTTTCTTTCACTACAATATGCTGTCCTTCATCAAAAATCTTGCACCTGATAAATTGTTTATGAAGGCATTATCATTAGGAAGATGAGTTGCACCTTTTATACCCTTCCCTTGGTAATGAAGACTCTGTTCAGCTCAGATGAAGTATTGTCAGGAAGGAGAAAAAGCCTTCATGAAAAATGGATACTAATGTGAAAGGGATCTCTACTGTTACCAGTCTTAAATACAAAAGAACACTATAACACTTAGAAGTCTTCTGAGGAAAAACCAATAAACAATATAGCTAACTGGCTTGAAAGTAGTCAAAATTGGATGTTTTCATCACTGTTTTCAAGGTTTTCTGCTCAAGTCAATTAAGCACCGATTGATTTATGAGGTTTTTCTTTGTGGTTGCAATTAATTTTGAAAATTGCTGACAACTGAAAAAAATCTAAATCATTTTGGGTACTGTAAAAAAGTAAGTTATTTTGTTTGCTGTTGGGGAGTAAAAAGGAATATTGTAAAATATTACTTTTTTTTAGAAATACTGAAAGGAATTCTTATATCATGTACAATACGCTATGAGGAACATACCCTTTTAAAGTTAGTCCTTAGGAAAAGGTAATTTTAGTGAAGGGGTAAAATACAAAGATAGACACTGACCTACTTCATCCTGAGACCAAAGTTTAAACTTCTGTAGTTTTACAGTTTAATATATAATGAAGAAATAAACTCAGTTGTTTAAAATGTCATTAACTGCTAAGCCACTGACGCAAGCAAATCCCATCAGCTTACTAAAAATAAAAATGTTCTGACCTTTAAAAATACTATACTCAATTTAGTTCCAGGTATATATGGTGTTGGAGAGTGACTAAAAGAGAGGTTTGCTGAAATGCAAAGTGCTATTATGATGCCACTTGCCTATGGTGGTGACTATTGATAGGCTGCTGCAAAGACTTCATACCTAGCTCCAAAGCAAATTAAAGCAGCTGCTGGAAAAGACAGAAGTTAAACCACCACCTTCCCCTCATCCGTGGCAAATTCCCATTGTGGTTCAGTTTGCATCAGGCTAATGATGCAATGGAAGTGAATCAGGACTCAGATTCCTCTTGTCTATAGCTTTGCTTTTACAAAACGTTCTTTTCTCTACCTGATATTTGCTAGATGGGCTATTTAAAGTTAAATCCTCTTTCACATGACTCTGGTCAGGAGAGGAGCTAGCAATAATAGTAGATAATTCTAAGAAGGTATAAATTCCTGTTCTGATGCAGAAGATTTTGGACTCTTGCTCAAGGAGATTATTGACCTGGAGGACCTATCTCTACAAATTTTGGACCTTACTGGCAAAGAGGATTACTAGGAAACAGATTAATCAGTAACAGATTCTAATATTGATATCACAGTAACACCAAAAAGAGGCCAACGTAATGTGAATTGTATAAACACATAATAAAAGGAACTTCTGTAATAGACCATGGGCCCAATCTTTAGTTGCTGGCTACTAGCACAGTATCACCAAAGCCAGTGTGAACCAGCTGAGCCTCTGGCCTAAACAGTTTTGTGGCTTTACAATCATCAGGCCTTAAAAAAAAGAACAATTTAAAGAAGAATATTTTCCAGTTTTAGTGCAAAGATGATTGTATGGCAAGAATTTAAAAACCCCTTTAAACAAACAATTATTAGAAGATAAACAGATGACAACATATGCCAATAAAGTTAAGTTAATTATTTTAAGATTGAGTTTTTTTATTTGCTACTTACTTCTTTCTTTTGAACCTTCTTTGTTTCTTTCTCCTTTAATTTTTTCCTGTTTTCATTACAGAAGTCTTTTGCTGATTTGGATGAAAAGTTAATCCTGGTGACTATCTGGCCCTGGAAAACACAGTGATAGAAAATAATACAAACACACTTTTTAAAAATGAAGATGCTATATAATTGCAAAGAACTAAAAGAAATAGATTCAATGTCTTGATTGAACCCCTGGAGCATCAAGAAGCCCCAGTAAGGGTCAAGGTGAGAATGCATTAGGGTGTGTGTAGATGAAATGGGGACCCTAAATTAAAGCAGTGGGTTTTTAAAAACACTGCTTCAATTTAAGGCCAATTAAGCCACCGTGTTGTGCACATACCCCACATACCTGCCTCTCTGGCAGCAGGGAGAGGAGGACGAACTGCCAGCGGGGGTGGAGTGATCCCTGGGCTGTGGAAAGGCTGGTGCTTCCCTCTGCAGCAGTAGTGGGCACCCGCCCGCAGGCACCCAGCTTGGGCGGTCCTGGGGGGCACCACAGCTGCGGAGGGAAGCACTGGGCCCCAGCACAGCTCAGGCAGGTAGGCTCCAGGGGAAAAAAAAAAAAGATCATGCTCACCCCTTTTTTTTCCCTCTCTTGGGCGGAGCCTGCCTTCCCGGGCTGCTGCCAGGCTGCCTGCAGGGCTTTCTGCAGAGCCCCTGAGCTACATAGAGCCCCTGAGCTGCATGGAGTCTGGTGCTTCGTTCCACAGGTAGTAGGGCAGCAAACTCCTCGGAGGAGTTTTAGTTTGCTGTGCCCCAAGTCATTTAAGGCGCATTATGCCACCAAATTTGCTACAGTGGCTGTAATTCTTGAACAATAGGCTGCTGAGGCATGCAAACACCAACACCATTAAAGTGGTGCAAAAGCATTTAGCCTGCTTTAAAGTGTTGTGCACACATGCCCCTCATTTCGTCTACACACGGCCCTAGGTGCTAGACAAATGCATCTTTTCATTGCCTGCATTCATACTAACTTAGCAAAATTGGATCCTCATCTTTTGACTCTAGATACCACCGTGGTACAAATCCACATGTAAATAACAATAGCACTTACAGTGCTTGTCTAGGAATTGGGAGGCCTGGTTCTAAGGTTTCCTCAGCCTGAGAGGATTAAAGTGCACATCTTCTGCTTCCCTCCTAACCACCAGGCTATAAGCAAGGCTGGTGAACAGGGCAGGCACTCTCCACCATTCTGTTGGAAGCTGTGCCTCTGCGCAGAAAGGAATGCGAGATTCTTTAGCTTAAAAGACAGAGCACAGAAGGAGGCATGACACTCTAGGCTGCTGGTTCAGGTATTCAGCAGGGGTCAGGGGGTTTGAGTTCCTTCCAGGACTGGACTGTTTATGCATTTTACATACAAGAGTCACTGGATTAAAAAAAAAATTGAAATAATCCTGGGAGGAAGCTATTTATATAAAACAACTGGGCTCCTGGTTTGTAAATCACAATGGGGCTTAGGTAGGAGCTCCTTGTTCTGTAGGTTGTGGCATTCTGGGCATATGCAAAACTGTAACTGCAGGCAGCAACAGAGCTTTCAGGCCAAATAGGTACTTTTGGGGTTGCTTTGGTTCTTTTTGGATCACAATTTTGGACGTAGGGTCCTAAAATCAGTGTAATTCTTTTTCTTGAAACTGGCACTTGGTTATTTGATTTTTCTGGATAAGAGCCATAATTACATGCACATTTTGCAATTTTTTAACTATTGCTTGTTCACATATGGGAAAAAGAAGTTTATAAAGTAAACTGGAAGGTGTTTAAAAATTTGATTTGAACATAACTGCAAAGCAAATATTTAAGAAGCTTTGGCTGCTGAACTCAAGAATTTACTACTGTTTCCACATTTCTAAAAGTGCTGGAATAGTGTAGTAAGAGATAGATTGCTAAGAAATACACCTTTCTTGCAAAGCTATATTTATCCCTACCTATTAGCAGGGATTGCAAAAGATGAAAGGGCTAATATTAAGGGCTGCTGTCTCAGTGTAAGCTTATCTGTCTTAGAAGCTGTCGACTGACTGATATTTTTAATAGACCTTGATTTGCAACATACCAGGTCTTCTAACTGTGGAGGAGATGTACCCTGTACAGGTGACAAAGACAAACGCACACTTTCATGTTGCCACTTGTAGACCATGTTAATAGCAAAGCGCCCTGCAATCCTCACAGTGATGTATTCATTAACCTGTATTAAAATAAAAGGGCAGTTGTGAACCACACACAGCCTTTATTCATATGGTCCAGGAAGAAGATACTGCAGTCTGAAGCCTTGAAATGTTAACTATGATGCTACGGGATTGACTATTGAAAATGATGGTCATCAATACAATGGTCCTCATTGTTGGTTAAATTTAGTGCTGAATTCTGATTATGTCCACAGTATGGGCACACACACTAATGCTGCCAAAATAGAGTTGTATGTGCAGATGAATTTTGGTGAGAAATAGTTTCAGACCATTTACACAGATTATTCACAACTATGGGTATGGCGCACACACAGGAAATTCATTAAAGTGTATTTTATTTTTCTTGTGATTCTAGACTAACATTAAATACAGTCTTAATGATAACTTCTATGCTTTACGGTTGTTGGTTGTAGCCATCTTGGTGTAAGGACATAGGCAGATAAGGTGTTTGGGATAAATGTGGTATCTTTTATTAGACCAACTAAATAGTTGGAAAAATTGTTCTTTGCAAGCTTCCAGGCACAAACACCCTTCTTCAGGCATAGGGAAAGTCTTTACACCTGAAGAAGGGTGTTTGTGCCCAGAAGCTTGCAAAGAACAATTTTTCCAACTATTTAGTTGGTCTAATAAAAGATATCATATTTACCCAAAGAACCCTGTCTTCTTAATGATAATACATTTGACAATTTTTGTTCAAAATCCAAATGGCAGAAATAGAACCAAAGACATTTCCATCATAATTTGCTTTCCTCTTTACAGGCCTTGTAAGAGAGAAAGCCAAAGATCTAGCATGAGATTTCTTCAATGTTGAATTCTCACAGGAGAAAAAATAGAGTTATATTTGAAAACACCAGTGACAGAAGCTGCAGGAGTCTCAATGCCATTTTTGTTTCTCCCCAGCTGGGCTGCCAGCTTAGGTAACATGAGCCAACCATGTAACAGAAACCATCTGTGTTTGTGGGCTACCTGTCATTCTGTCAGGGCTCCTGTCTGTATTCATTGTATAAAGTATTAAACACAGTGCCAGGAGCTCTGTGTCAGATAGCAAACAACTAAACCTGACTTGACCTCTTAAGTTGTGAGTATATTTACAAACTCACAGCCTGAAGGCTTACTTAAGGATTTTGGAAGCAAAATGTTGTACCTTCATTGCCAGGGTCATTTAGGGATTGCATGACTGATCCAACAACCACTGAAGTCACTGGGAGCTTTCCAGTTGACTTCAGTGGCACCAGATCAGGCCTGAAATCAAGTTGCTTGCTACTAAACATTCACAGATGATACATGAACAGCAGTAACAAGTCTGGAAGAGATTGTTCCAAAAACTGCTCCTAGCAGGTAGGATGTCCTCCGGAGAGTCTGAGCTCATGGATCCATTCTCTCAGCAGTGCTGAGGAAGTCACTTATCATTTCTTTGTCTCTGATTCCACATGAATAAAAGCTAAATGACATTTCTTGCTCTGTTACATGAGGATTGAGGGTATTAGGTAGTTATTCTTTGCAAAGCATTTTGAGGATAGAAAATGTGACAGGTTATTGTCCTTGAAATTAAGAAATCTTCCAGAGAGCCAATGACATTGAGAAAGAAGTTAACAAGAGAAAAAAAATCAAACACATAATGGTATAAATATTACCTGTATTATAACTGGCTCACTAAGCTTTCCCTCCCGAGGCCATTTCCATTTTCTGATTATTTCTCCATCTTTGTTAGTCATCATGCCTCCTTGCTGATTAAACATCATTGCTACAGTGTTACTGCAAACAACCACAAACATGAAACCTGTTTTTCATGGTTTACTTTAGTAAAATATAATCAGGCTGAGGAAATTGCTTTGATCCATGTGATTTTAAATTAACCTACTACCTTGCACAGACAGCACTTCAACCAGCTTTTCACAAGGTACACACCTGCGAGGCCTACATAAATAATTTTGCCTGTTACAGATGGAATAGTGATGCACAAAGAGGTTAAATGCTGGTTTTAATAATTACATGAAACGTAGGAATGTTTGAAAAACTGGTGTGTAATGCATTGTGACTTTTAATGTGACACTTTCTTATTCTTAGGCCATTCTTGATGAGTAATGAAATTCTTCACATGCAAGCATGAAGCTGAAGGAGGAAGAAGGTTAGGTGAAGTCACATGTTTATCAACCCCAAAAGAGTATGTTGGTAAGACCTTTGAACTGATTGTCTGAGGCACACTGCTGTTGTATTTCTCTGTTAGCAAGACTGACCATACTATTGCATTTATCAAATTACTCGTAGCTACCCCAGCACACACGTCAGCTGACCTGCTTGGATCTTATGTTTTGAAATAATATATTCTGAGTTCCAAAGAAAAGACTTTAAGGTAATCTGAAACTCTGCAAAGGATTTTTTTAAAATCCAAATGTGTGCTTTTTGTTTCTATAAGCTATACACAAAAGGTATGATAAGATTTTGAACTTTTATTTTTATTTTTGTATCTTTAGAGATACAAGGATGTCCTATCTGATCTTCCCTGGTTCTGCTGGAAAGTCTCATATTCAGACAGAGAGATTTTACACCTTAGTGTAAAGGGCCAGGGTGAAAAATCTTTAACAAAGACATATTTCTTAAAGTCTCACTGGGATTTGGACGTAAGGATGTGCTAATAAAAAGAAAACAGTTTTAAGAATCTGACTTAAAAACTGTGTTTTGCCCCTCATATGATTTTGCTTGTTTTCCTATCATAGAGTTACCCGGGGGAGACGCATCTCAAATTTTCAATATTTTTAATTGAGAATTTTTTTAATGCATGTATTTACTTTAAAAACACATTTTTTTTCAGAAAAGGTCATAAGCCTTAGAAAAAGTTTAAAAATTCTGTAAAAAAACAACAAAAAGGAGGTTTAAAAGATTCTACACACCCTGACCTAAAAAAAAGTACAGGTTCCACAAAACGATGACTATCATATTGCTCAGACTCCAAGGACATGTTCAGCCAGGTGATGATAAACCCACAGTACCTGATTTCTTTCCAGCTGCAGGCACTTGCATGTCACATTGTTACTCCACTCTAGCCTTTATTCAGCTTTGCAGAACATGTATTTCTTATCTCAGAATATTATGTAGTTGGCTAACAATCAAGGACCATAAAAGAGAAAAGTTAAAGGGGAGTCTAAGTGGTGGGTAGACAACAGTAATAAAGTGTACTTACCACATGTAAAAATACTGAGCATTGCACAAGAAATATATAGTAATTATGCTCCTAAAAGGGATGTGTTCTCATTTATGGCTGCATGCTTTAAATGGGACTGAAACTTCTGTGTAAATCATTTAAATGTACGTTTTTGTTAGGTAGGAGAATGGGGGCGGGGGCAGCATACGCACGCGCATGTATGCATGCGTGCACACACATGCCCTGCTCCTGCGTGGATATGTAAAGTGCTGTTCTCTTTTGACTGCACTTGGAATTTTATAATGAATATTCAGAATGCCAGTTTTTTCCTATAGCCTTTTGTTGGATATGCTTTTAATTATTGGTGTCTTTAATTGAATTGCCTAAAGCAAGGGTGGGTAGCCTTTTGCTGGCGCAGGCTACAGCTTGTGACTCTGTCATGGCTGTGGCGGGAAGTCTCAATCCCTCAGAACAGCTAGCTGCCTGCATTCACCCTCATTGCAGAAGGAATCACAGATGCAGAGGAGTAGCAAGCTTCACAGCTGAAATAAATGCTGTGGTGGAGATTGGTGGCATGGAACAGCTCCATCGCACCTCTTCCCCTCTGCCAGATCAGACATCTTTGTCAGGGTCAAATCTGGTCCATGAGCTGTAGGTTGCTGAATTATGGCCTACAGGCATCCCAGCCCAACCTCAAATGAAATAAAAGGATAACTGGTTGTTGGAGTCAGAAAAAACATTGAAAGTAATATTGTACAACACAAAAATGACAGATTAAATTAAATCCAGTGAAAGAAATAAAATAGAACTAAAATCAAAATACCAGAATATAATACACACCGTGTTTGTGAAAGATAGAGTGAAGAAAAAAGATTTTTCCAGCTGGGACAGAGCCTAATCTTCAACTGACTCACCCTCACTTTCCTGCTTTACTAAAGTAGAAGCACTAGCTGTTGCTGAAGACTGCTCTTGATGGGTGGATCTCTGATTCTGAAAACAGCTAGTTTCCAAGGCTGTTAAATAGGGAGAGAGAGACAAGAACCAGACAGCAAAATTACCCTAAAAATGTTTGGCTCGATTAGTGGAACCTCAGGACCATTAAAAACAAGAGGGGTGGGGGGAATCATTAACACCTCTAGAGTGAGCAACAATGACCATTGGGTCAATTGACTCTCTCATCTGCCTGAATAGCAATAGCACTGTGGAGCAGGGATCAAACAGGTGCTTCTATCCCAGTCAGAAAACCAACTTCCCTGCTTAATACACACACCCCAATTTGGGGGGAGGGGCTGACTTTGGGTGGAAAAGTGTGTGTGGTGTGCAAGAACTACGGTATTTAAAATTAAGGGTCTCAAGTATGCACTTAACTGAGATCTGCTAAGACAATAATATGACTCAATTAAAGACAACTGTGACAACTCTATTATAGAGATACTTTAAGGGCCCAGTTACAGAGCAATTTATAAATTGCTCTACAGAAGGGTTCAACAGCTCCTGCTTCTCTATAGAGACGTGCAGTGTTCATAATTCACTGAAAAATATATAATGAAAATCAATCTAATGATACATTTAACAAACAGTATTTAATTCTCTGTGATGTTCATAAAACTGTGAAAGCTATGTGAAGGTATCTGACAAATGCTTGTCTTCCTGCGGGCTGGTGATCTACACCAGGGGTGGGCAAAACACAGCCCATAGGCTGAATCTAGGTCACCAACAGATTCAATCTGGCCCATGGCCGGGCAGTCTCCAACTCATTGGGTCAGGTCCACAGGCAGTTGGTGGCTCTGACTCCAGCCACTGTGTGGTGCTGGGCAGGCGGGTGGATGGGGCTGTTTCCACCCAGCAGCATCAACTCTTGATGTGGTGGCATCAGCTGTGGACCTGGGCAGGGGCTCCTGCCACAGCCAGCAGGCAGCAACATGAGCTGTGGATGCCTCCAGCAAGTTCAGGAGCCCCAAGGCAGAACCTGCTGGTGGCATCCACAACTGACAATGCCAACTTCCCTGCACAGAGAAGCTCCCACTCAGAGCCCTGATCCAGAACCTGCTGGCAGTGTCAGCTGTGGACTCAAAAAGGAGCTTCTGCTATGCCGGGTGGGCAGTGGCATCAGCTGTGGACACTGCTGGCAGGTTCTGTGACAGGACTCTGGGACCTGCTGGCTGCACCCACAGCTGATGATGCTGTCCACCCACTGTGGCAGAAGTCCCTGTTAGGGTTGACAGTTGAGTCTTGGGACTCCTGGTGAACTACAGCTCTGTCTGGGTTCTGGAGGGAAGAAGGGAGGAGGAGAGAGAGGCAGAGACAGAGAGAAGAGAAGATACCAAGAGAGACAGGGAGAGAGAAATGGATGTGGCCCTTGAAAGGTCACCATGGCCCTCCAGCCAAAATAATTGCCCACCCCTGTCCTAGGCCATGATTCACGGTCTAGGACAGGGGTAGGCAACGTTTCTTGGCCGGAGTGCTGAAAAAAACACAATGTCTATCTTGGAAGGTACTGGAGTGCCAACATGCTGGAGCCTGGGGCAGCTGTTTGCAGCCTCCCGGCTGCAGACGGCCCATGGAGGGCTTGCAGCCTCCCAGCCTCCTGCTGGGAGCAGCCTGGGCTCCATGTCTGGCAGCAGCTGCATAGAGCGCAGGCTGGCAGTGGTGTGCCAAGCAAAATGGCCTTGCGTGCCATGCTCGGCATGCGTGCTGGGGGTTGCTGACCCCTGGTCTAGGATGTTTTGGAGATGATGTTGCATAGTCTCCATCGCTTGTAGTATGGAGGCTCAGCAGAGTAGCCTTTCTTCAAGTGTTTGAGAGCTGGGATGGGAGTGAACAACTGTTGCCATGTCTCCCTTCCCATGTGAAAGGTTTCTGTCTTCAGGAGATTTGATGTTTTGTTGCTATTTCACTGTATAAATCGGGAGATAACTATTCAAAATGGTCTCCACTCAGCTTCAAAATTCAGATGATGCTGGGGTTTGATTACTCAAGATCTCGCGCTCATTCATTCATGACTTTGAGCACTATATTAGGTACAGCGCCGATTATATTGCCTTGTATAGTACACAGTATAGTAGCATGTCTTTTTGAAGGCAAATACTTACCTGTTAGAAAAGCAAATACTGCCATGCCCAGAAGGTGTAAAGGTTCCAAGTATGGTCTGACTGGGAGAGTCACTGAATATGTTGGTGTATACGCCCCCACCTGGGAGATCAGAATAGCTTTGGCAAGCTGCCAGATGCTCAGAAGGATAGCAGAAGTCTGAGTCAAGGAAGTGGGTTTGTTTGTTTGTTTGTTTGTTTTCCTGATAACCTAACATCAGCCTTGTGATTTCTGTTACATGCCCATGCCAAGAGCTAAGAATCCCAGCCCAGGGCTGCCTGCTCCTCTGTCTCGAGGCACCTTGCAACCCCAGCCAGATTGGGGGTGGCTTGCTGGGGTGCAGGGCTCTCAGTGCAGGGGCACTGCAGCATGCAGAGATGAGGGAGCAGGCTGCCGAGGGCAGAGTAAGTGCCTTTATTCTGCCAGCTGGGCTGCCTACTCCCCTATCTCCACATTTGTGCCAGCACACAGCACTTTGGTGTGCTTTGTGCTGCTTTTTTCTCATGGTATTTTTTTTGCTACCAGGAAATCCTAGCAAATTTGCCCCAGCGCTGCAAATCAGCAGCATGGGGCATGGTTTAATGTGCAACGTGCAGTTTGTGGTGCCACAAAGAAGTTGCGTGCTACGATCCCGCCACATCAAGCAGCACATCTCCATGTGCTGCTCCCCACCTGGCTGGGGCACAGAGTACCTCAGCGTGGGGGCTGCCTGCCAGCTAGCTCCATGATGCAGCACCCTGTGCCCCAGCCAACCCTCTTGACCCCCACAGCACATGGAGCAGCAGGACAATGTGTCCCACTGCAAACTGCATGAGCAGGGGCATGCACTGCAGCACAATGTAGTGGCACACTATTTGTGCTGCTCCAAATCCACAGTACAAATGCCTGCCCCTGTTCATGTGGATGTGGCCTTAATGGACTACAGAGATCTTGGGACCTGGAATATAAGAGAAAGTGGGGCCACTTGCTTTTCAATCTTTCATGGAATGGGTGGTCAAGGAGAGTTGGAGAATGGGCAGAGCCTTGCCTACAGGATTCACCTTATTTGCTGAATCAGAGAGAGAGAAGTAGA